AGTCATTTTCTCATAGACTTCTATACAACCAGAGGAGTTGCCCCCTGGTGGACACTAGAGAGAATGCAGCTTTAACATATGAAGCTTTGACTTCACCTTTCAGACCTGGAGGTCGCCGCCTGATTTAAGTTCATTACAAAGAGCTGTAAAGAGATTAACCACCAGTGTGTTATTGAGTCAATCAGTGACCTCAGTCCTCACCTCATACTCCAGGTCATCCTGTCTGTCCACCTCATGGTTGGAGACGTCAAAGTAGTCATCAGGGTCGTTGTACTCAAACACACAGCTGGAGGGAGGGGTGAAACATCAATCCACATCATATCCAACGCTATTGATTTGTCATACGTGGAGACTTGTCATTATTCTTGACTCCTCCCCCCCCGAAAAGACAACGATCAGGACTCACAACTCATTGATCCCATATGGTTCCACGAGGTGAGGGAGGGGAGGGGAGGGCGGGGGTGGTGGAGGGGAGGAGGAGCCGCGGTGGTGGTGTTGCTGGTGGTGACCTCTGCTCCTCCCCAGCGGCACGATGTTCTGGAAGCTGATGTCTGTCTGCGTGCCATTATCGACGCAGTCGGGGATCGCCACCATGGCAACAGAGTAGATGGAGCTGCTGCCAGCCCCGTTACCGCCGCACACCAACGTACCTGAGTGGGGGGTGAGGGGGTGAGGAGGTGGGGGGGGGGGGGGGGGGGGGGGGGGGGGGGGGGTGGGGAGGTGAGGAGGTGGTTAATATGTAGAACTAAACTGAGTTCTTATCGACCTCATCGTGGTGTATATGCCCACAGATATTTACATACAAGGACTTTTCCTTAGTGGTTGATGCATAATCATAAATACAGTACAGACTTAACTCATAATAGAGATAAATGTTTGATAACTCCTCTGGAACTTGGTGGTAATTGTGTGTCACTAGCTGACCCTGTCCATCATAGTCCTATAAACTCACTAGTAGTGTGATATCATGGTCTTTAACATTTCATGTGTTAGGTCTCATGTATAACTTTCTCCTCCTCCTGCACAACTCTTTCTGTTTTTGTTAAATCACACTTAATTTGCAGTGATCCAATAGAATCAAAGGGATTAGATTTAACTTCCTCTAACTCTAACTGTGACTCATCAGATTTAAATCTTAATCCTTTGAGTTAGTAAACACTAGAGGAGAGGATCTGCTGCTGAGGTTCAGTCTTCACTTCAGGAGAATATTCTCCACTTTAAAATATAGTTGATTCATTTTGAGGACATCGAAAGCCAGATGAGATCAGTTGATTATGTAAAATGTATTGTATGACACGTTATTTACTGTCATGCTGTTTGTACATGTATGTTTATTTGTTTATTTATTTTGTATCTTGGCAGCTGTTTGCTTTAATTAGTGAAGGAGAAGAAACTAAAGGTAGGAGAGGATACAGAGGACCTTTGACTGATGTGAAACAGATGAGCAGACAATGATAAAACTCTGCATTTACATCATAAAAGATGGTAAAAGTCAGATAACACTAAATGATTTGATATTTAAGAAGTCGAGAGGAACAAGAGAGAAATGTCAGGAGATACGAGGGGAAAAGACGAGAGATGAGAGAACGTGACAAGGAAGAGGAGCGTCAGCTGACCAAGAGAAATGGGATGAAAATAGATATGAGGTAAGAACGTGGGAAAGACGAGGAAGAGGATAAAGCCAGAGGTTTGAAGTAATGAAGAGAGACGATATTAAAAGATGAGATCAAAAGAGGATTCCCGTCTGACAGCAGCTCAACACTTCAAACGGAGCAGAAAACAAAGAAAACCACGGAAATACGAGCTCATGTTTGTGAGCGGGACGCGGTTCACCTTTCCTCCTGTGACTCTTGCGGACCGACCCGGGTTGGTGCAAAGGCTCCTGGGAGTTTTGTGGCTTGTCCAGTGGGAGCTGAGAGGGCCTCCGTCCTCTGACCTGGAGAGGGGATCAGAGTCAGTTTGTCTTCAATGAAGCAGAATGTAAACACAGGCAGAGTAACCAGTACGATCGATATGAGTGATACAATATGTAATGTACCAGAGCTACAGTGCTGCTCCACCTCGCCACAACTCAACCGCTGTTTAGCCGGCAGACAGATGACTTGGATGTTCTTACAGCCTTATTTATTTGAGTATATTTGTCTGTGAGACAAAGTTGATGAAGCCTGGATGTCTTCAGTTAATTTCATGGTAATCTGTATGTCAGATTCCGTCATTTCTTGTGTACGAGTGGACTTGTTCTCCTGATGGTGGTGCTGGAGGAAAACTACTGAAATCATTGGTGCAATAATGCACCTGAAGAATAAAAGATCATTCATGAATACAAGCAGGACTCAGAAATCAGGCATCTGAGGATTATGATTAAAAAACATGAGGGGAAGAATAAGGAAAGAAATCATTCAAGGCCAAAGGCTGAAGATATGGATCAAGGTAGCTGCATAATTCAGATTCTGAGGTCTCTCGTCTGAGATGCATGAACGTTTTAAGTTATTTAAACACAGGCTCTATGTGTTCCTTTGCTTTCAGCGCTTTAAGAGCCACAATGTGCTCTCTGCTGCAGTAGCAGTGCTTCAGTACACAACTCATCCACGTCTATGGTCCCGTTGGTATCATCTCTCCCTGCTGGGCTGAGCTTGGTGCTTCCTCATGAGGAGTGACGAGGTCAGAGCCTCAACGCTCATTACATCATAATTAACTCCCCCTGAGTTGGCAAACTAAAGAGTATATTACTTTCACAGTGTCGGTTGTCAGTAGTTGTTTTCTTTCCTGGTGTCCACACCTGTTTTTATTGTCATCAGCTGATAGAATGCATGTTACCGCATGTTACCGCTTATCATTCTAAGGGATTCTAAAGGTTTGGTTTTAAATATCTACATAAGTAACGTAACAAAGGTACAGTAAAATAAGTCAATGATGACTTTGGATTCCACATGGGACACTAACGGTCTTCTGGGTGGAAGTCCAGAATTAGTTTGATCCATCTACCTCACCACCATTTAGAGGACTTTGACGCTGTTTATAGAGAGGTTAAGTCCCGCCCCTTCCAGCGTCCCCTATGGGACCTTATTTCGGGACAAATACGTGTCAAATGGTGAGAGGCAAATCATTTCATGAGCCATGATTTACACATATGTTTGTCAATTTAAAACATCATTTTGCAAGTTGGGTTTATTAGTTCATTTAGTTTTGTATGAAACCGCTCAGTGATAAGTTCCCATGGTGGTCCACCGGAAGGGGCGGGACTCTTTATCCTAGGTCACCTGACTTCCTGCTTTGCTACCGTCGTAATTTCCACGGCCACTAGAGGTGAGCGTCGTCTTCTTGTATCTGATCGACCATGTGAGGACATGATGACGGCCTTCTGAACCTCCTGGTATCTGTAGCCAACACATTCTCCCTAACAACTCGCCAAACACCACCACTTGGTCAGTGTCCCTAAGCTTCAAACTCTGACGCTCTAGGTTCCCCTCCAGCGTCACTTTATGACGTCTCGGGGACAGGTTGTCAGTTTTCACTAGTTACACGCACAGTGTCCTTTCAAAATAAACTTCCGTCTTCACACAAAGTTAGGTTTACATAACGAAACCACTTAGTTGAGGAAAAGAAGATGGTTGATTTTAATTTGACTGACTAACGACTGACATGACAAAATGTCAATGTTTAACGTTTAGCAGGCGACACCAACAGCAGTCTCCTGGACTAAAGTCCTGAGTTTGTTTGACCCATCCGGCTCCCACCCACCCGTCCAAAGTCACTCACCAACCCTCGCTATTTGACGAGTTGGGAGTGAGACCGGGTTGGTGTAACGGCCCCTTCCAACACGTACCTATGAGGCTGATAACGCTCATTACGTCCATTCATTCGGCTGATGACATCGGATGCCGCCGAGTTTACAAGGTCAGAAATGAACCGTGAGCCTCAGATTTGAGACCAACATGTACGAGAAGTCCTCAACTAAAGTGCTCAGAAAAACGATGGGAATTTAAATATCTACAGTTGGGCAATCTCCATCTGCTTGTGAAGAACATGCAATAGAAATCTCCAGAATTTGTATTTATCTCATCACTGAATGAACAGCAGTCTTTTCATAAGGCAGCAACCAGCACAACACGCTTCGAATGTAGACGTTAATGTATGAAAGAGAAGCAAGATGTTGCTGGAAAAGACTTTGCACACTTTATCAAAGCTTCCTCGCATAAATCAGCCCTTAAAGGCTGTATGGGTGAGAGGAAATGCTCTCTATCTATCCTCAGCTTTATGGGAGAGGAACCTTATTAAAGATGACTGATAGGAGGCGGATGGAGGGATGTGGGACACGAGAGTCGGTGAGGAGGATCGATGAGAGCTGATGGATGGCAACATGCGAGTGTGTTCTACCTTTACGTTTCCGTGTCTGTCCATCGGCCGCAGGGAGTCACTCCAGCCTTTCTGCTGATGAGAGGGAGACGGATGTTACTGAGGAGAGGGAGGAGTGTGACATCAAGGAGAAAGAAAACCAATAAAACAGAGATGTGTATCACATTAGTTTGTTTGGCGAAAAGCATAATAATAATAATAGAACATTCATAAGGTTGGTATATTGTCTTTATCATAGTATACAATAATCCCTGACATTGTTTCATGTCTTGGTTGTAATGTTGTCTTTAAAGGCTCCACAGCCACAATAACTGTTTACGTCCACGCTTGATTAGAACAAAGTATCCTCACACAATCGTTCGTTTATCTTACAAAAAGGTTTTTGTGTGTTTTCTTATGAAAGTCCAGCAACACGAGTCAATTTCCACTCGTTACATAAATACAATCTTTTCAAAATGAACTTCCGTCTACAAGAAACAACTGCGTTTGGTTTAGACAACAAAACTACTTAGTTAAGTTTAGGAAACCATTGTTGTTTGAGTTAAAATAACCACGGAAGTTCATTTACTGGTGCAACTTACGCTGACTTCTCGTTTCACACAGAACAATGTATTCTGACTGAAAGATCGCTGGTTGTTTAACAGTTTAAAGTTATAAGACAAAAACACAGTGGTAGAGACCTGTCAATCACTGTGTAGCCCCGCCCTAAAGCATCCCCTGCTTTATGGTCTGTGTGACTCTAAATGGACCATAATGTACTAAATGAACATCATGCTGTATTGAAGAAGACTTGAAACTAGAGATTGAGACCATAAACTCATGTTTACAATGTTTACTGAGGTAATAAACTGAGAGTCGCTCATATTCACTCGTAGACTTCTGTACAACCAGACTTCTTTCTGCAATCGGAGGAGTTGCCCCCTGCTGGTCAGCAGAGAGAATGCAACTTTAGCAAACGTACGCATTGGTTTCACTCAGCAGAACCGGAGGTTGTCGCCTGTTTCAGTCCTGTAAATCACATTTTACTGTTTTGTTTTTTTTTAAATCAAACCATCAGTTTTTTTAAATTAACTCTCCGCTCACTCAGACTTCAAGTGCGGTGCCGTGTTACCATGTGACGAGCACACAAGGGACACGTCCAATGAAACCCACCTAGTGTTTCACTCAAGGGCGCTCGCATGCAGAACAGATGCTAATTTACAGGGCAGCCTGTAACCTCTGGTTCAGTCCCGCCTTCAATCAGCAGCTCGTAACTAGCCTCCACACGAGCCGCCAGCCACTCGCATTAGCATAATAACACAGCTGTAAGCACAACAGAGCGACTACGGGCGTCACTCAGGGGCCAGTATGAACAGAAACACCTGCTTGCAAATGGACATGGAGGTAATTAGTGTGTGTGTGTGTGTGTGTGTGTGTGTGTGTGTGTGTGTGTGAGAGAGAGAGCACACTGTAATAA